TGACATCTTGAATGTTAATATAAATTCAATTAATGTTCGAAATTAAATGTGATTTTTTGAGGTGAGAGTGTGAATCCAATTTTTGCTGGAGCACATTGTGGAGGAAAAACCAGGTTCTTACTAATTAAGAAAATTTAAGAAATAGAAATGTTCTTGGAATTGGTTGTGATAAACACCTAATTTATAATAGTGCAGAAACTAGCTTCGTTATTATACCAATCCAAAAAGAAGTTGAATCGTCAAAATGTATAACTACTTTTATACAGACATAGGGAAAGTAACTTTTCTGAAATGAAGCAGATGTTGAATACAAAAGACTACTTCAGCTTTGCAGTGTATCTTTCTGACTTAGATTCCTTTCATCAATTTGATTTTAAACATAGATGAGCTTTTGAAGTCTACTTTGTGAATCAACTGCATATACTATGATACTTTTTAAATTTTTTCGTATATCAGCCCTTCAAATTTTGTTTACATTTTGTTTAAAATTTCTTTGAAATCTTTCATCAAAGTATTAAATAAATAGAGCCCCAATTAACTTTGGCTTTCGAAGCTTTTATTGAATCAAAGTTTTATTTAAAATAGAATGGGAACAGGAAAACATTAAAATTTATCCCCATGAAAGCAAGGGAGGAACTGAACAAATTGGGTGATGATAGTTTACACAGTGTTTAAGATTTAATTTCGTAATTGCGCTTTAGAATAGTTCCACTTGTACAAGTCTCTTTTGATTGCGTTCCTATTTTTAATTTGATAAATTTATATTCTATAAAGGAAGGAACGGAAATTAAGAAGCCTTACAATTTCACAGCACCTAAGTTTGGCAACCAATCAAAATACACAAAGAGATATTATTTGAATTTCATCTTGCGAAAATATTTGTCTAAGAAGGGTGCTCAATGAGTCAAAAATACAGTACTTGTGAAAATTCATGAGTTAAAGTGTTCACACCTTCAACTGAGAAAAAACAATTAAGAATTGAGAGCTTTCACTTCACAGAACGTAACTCTGATCTTGCTAGACGGTTCAGCGCGTGTGAACTATTTTCATCTATTAAAATATTAGAATCTTTAGAGAGGAGTCAATTGAAGATGCCAATTTTGTTTCAGCTCTCAACTAGTCATAGTGTTGATGGTATGGTCCCCCCCCAACTCAGAATGGGCTGTCTATTCAGAAGTCCAGAACACTCCAGCTTTTCCACAGGCAATTACTGCGTATTATACTGATGGATGTTACAGTGGGAGGCATTGAACAATCTATGCTGACATTTTTTTATTTTGAAGCATTTTTTATTGCATACAGAAAAGTACACAAATTATAAGTATACAGCTAAGTGAATTTTTACAAAGTGAGTATGTCTGTGTAAGAAGCACACATATCGTAAACAGAACACAACCAACATCCTGGATGCCCCTACACTCCCGTGTCACCTCTCACCTACTTCACTCTCACCCTCAGGGGAACCTATATCAAACTTCTAAAACCAGATATTTTTAATGCACGTCATCATGTGCAGGCTTTTGAACTTTTTATGAAACATGCTTTTGAACATGCTTTTTACATCTGATTTATTAAACATTTTCATGAGATTCATTCACATTTTCTTAAATATTGGTAATTTTTAGTATTCTCATTTCTGTATATTATCCCACTGTAAAAATAAACTATAGATGACTTACCTATATTACTCTTGTTGGATATGTGGGCTGTTTTTGGTTTGGAGCTATCATGTATAAATGTTATGAATATTCTTATACATGTCTTCTAGGAATTTATGCATTTTCCTAATGTAAACTTTCAAAACCTCATTTTATTTTTTATTTTAAATAAATTAAATCTTTTATTAAAACAATTTCTCTTTTTGTTTCCCCGGATGGATGACAGGGCAGTGTAATGCTTTGAGTAGATCAGAAAACATTTTACTCTTTTTACCATAAGCTTCTACCATGAATTTGTTTTTCCAACATCCACATATTCACTCATTTTATTTTCTATTCAGACATGGCATCCAGTAGCAGTCACCTTATAGATGAAAGGCCAGTTGAGGGATGCCCTCAATTTTCAATTAATTCTTAATCAAACTTTAATTGACTGCTTTCATAATCTTACAGAAAAGATCCAATAATCAGTGTAAATTTCAGCTATAGTAAGTTGGATTCTACCTGATTATAGACTTTGTTCTTTTGGAAAAAATGTGAGTTATAGATAAATAAATTAGTCATGTAAATCGGCTGTCCTAAATTTATTGACAATAGTTTTTCTGCAAATGCCAAGAACAATCTGCGTTGGTGGTATAGTGGTGAGCATAGCTGCCTTCCAAATGCCAAGAACAGCTAGGTAGAAAAATTAAATTACGGTTTCAAACCCATTCTAAAGAATCTTCAGAAAAAGTAGTTACTCTTACATAAAATATATACCAATATTGAATGGATATTAAACACTTGGTATGGAATTAATTCATGACTGGGAGATTTTTTTTCTTTCATATGAGAAGCAGGATATTTTATTGAAATGGGATCAGTTGTTTTGATGGTACACTTTAGCATTATCTATTTTAGTACATATTAGCTTTGCAAAATTTGAAATTACTTGATTGAAATCATATGAACTCCTTGGAAAAATCAAGACCTGAGAAAGAAGTCTGTTTTCTCTAGATATTTCTGTGCTTAAGAGTCATGTTAGAATTAGAAATTAGCAAGAAACTACTAGTAATTGAGTAAGTGGAGGGGAAATTCAGCCAATTTAATATTGTTTAACCATCATTTTATATGCCTGAATCACTGTATACTTAGTGACATTATGTTTCTGTTTCCAAATGTTTAGTAAAATAATTTTAACCTCTATATGATTGAATAAATTGCAGTAAATTCAGACCTATTTAACCACTGCAATGTAAATATAAGTTATGAAATAAAATGGTGTTAGATAGAATATTAGTTCCTTGATACTGGAACAAAAAATGATGGAGTCTCTCCAAACATTTTTTAGAAAGAACTGGGAAAAAAAACAAAAAACAAAAAACAAACAACTAACCAGTCAAATCAAATAGATTTAGATCTGACTCAGGATAATAATAAAAACAACAACAGCAGCAACAAAAATCAATAATAATCTGCAATACTTATTGGGGGTGAATCATCTCTGTGCTGGACCTCGTGTTAGCCCTGCTTTTGCAATGACTCATCTTACCCCTGCAAAAACTGAGACGTAGGGAGGTTTGGTACTTGCACAATGTTGCAGAGCTGGTAAATGGGAGACCTGGAGCTGGATTTCAATGTCTATTCTCTCAACCACTCTAATGGTTTTCACTGGAATCAACAGGGATCTTTAATAAGAAATAATAGAGGGATTAGAGATTGTCATAGCATGATTTTTGTCTTTCTTAAGTACTCCTTCATTTCACAAAGAGCTCATCATGCCAGGAGAGGTCCATGAACTGATTGTCCTACATGATAGTGGCAGACAAATTCCTCACGTCTGCTACAAGGTGACAGTGTGTGCAGCATTTCTAAGTGAGCGGTGAACACAGCCTAGTGCTGTTTCACTGTGCATTTTGCTTTCCTGGCCCTACAGTAAATGATCTTTTAAAACTCAGTTGTTTTTTTTCCCCAAGCACCTCTCATTTTTATTCCTAAAGCACATTTTTCACTGCCTTCTCACCACCCACATCAAGGTCAAATCCCTCTCTTTCCCGTTGCTGTGCTTTTGCTCCTGCCTACACCATTTCACTCATTCCTCCTACCCGCATCCCTAATGTCGCCTTTCATTTTAAATAAGTGCATCTTCCACCTACCTGCCTGAAGATCTGAAGATTCCTTTAGCGAATTCTAGCGGCTGGTATATAAGTAGATATATTTTTCTCAGGCAAACTTATTCCAAAAAACAGTAAGTTTGCTTTTCCAGTAAAATATATGCCCAATACTCTATATATACTCTTCTGAATGCAAGTAGTTAAATGAATACACTTCCTTACTTACTGAGTCTTATCAATAAATTATGAAAAATTTTTTGTATGATTTGATATAATCATGATTTGAAAATTTATTTTCTTCTATATTTTTAAAAAAGATGTTATTTATTTATTTGGGAGAGAGCGCCCGTGAGCGAGAGAGCACAAGCAGGGGGAGCAGAAGAGGGAGAGGGAGAAGCAGACTCCCCGCTGAGCAGGGGCCCGAGATCAGGACCAGAGCTGAAGGCAGCCGCTTAACCAACTGAGCCACCCAGGTGCCCCTGAAAGTTTATTATCCTTTATATTAAGAATAATAATTCTGCGATGCCTGGGTGGCTCAGTCAGTTGAGTGTCTGCCTTGGGCTCAGGTCATGATCCCAGGGTCCTGGGATGGAGTCCCATGTGGGGCTCTCTGCTCAGCAGAGACCCTGCTTCTCCCTTGGCATGCTGCTCCCCCCGCTTTTATTCTCTCTTTCTCTCACAAATAAATAAATAAAATCTTTAAAATAAAGAAGAATTCTAGTACTATATTTTTATATTAGTAGGTCTCATGATAGATGGTGATTTTTGCATTACCTTCTTGTTGGCCAGCCATTAAGAAATCTTGACTTTTATTCATTAAACCAGTTTATATTATTTTTGAATTCTAAAAAAAATTTAATACAAATAAAGATTTTCTGTGCCACGGATTTTATAACTTTGGTCAATTCATTCAACAATGTTATTTGGCACCCATTATGTGCCAGGCAATACTGTTCCCACAGGAATACAGTGGTTTGAAAGACATCGAAAATCCCTGTTCTTATGAAGCTTACACTCTCTCTAATAGAGTAGACAGTAAAACAGTTAACAAAAAGACAAAGTAAGACATTTAGTATCTTGGAAATATTAAAGTTTTTTCCGTTAATGATCAGTGGCCCAAGGAGATATATAAAATGAGGGGAGTGGAGTCCAACAGTGGTAGGGCCAGGTTCCAGTACCTTCATGCTTCATTTAATATGTAATAACTGCAATTGTAGATTTTCAAGGACCTAACAAAGCAAGGCTATATGTGATGTTGTCCTCCAGTATTTCAATGTTATCCACCCTGTGTTACTTACTTCAGAGACCGTGTGTGGCCTTTCAGCCCTAGAATGAGAGTGGGGAGAACGGGCTTTCATTTTCATGCACAAAACCTTAGGATGTAAAAAGAATTTCTTATTCACAAAATGAGGAATTTGTACAAGTCAGGGTTTTTAACCAAGGGACCATAGACTCTTAAAGAGTCTTTGGGTAAAATTCTTGGGAACTATGAAATTAAAATGAGAAAAATTACCTTTATTTTCAAAACCTCTAAGTGAAATATTTAGCATTTCCTTCAATAAACTAATAATCATATCAGTACTACTTGAGAACTTTTCACCAACAGAAGTCACAGATCTTTTTGTATTATATTACCGTTGTTATGGATATCCCAAGTTATCATTTATTACCATCACTATGGAGAAATTATAATTACTAGATACAAAGTATGATCATGTCATTAAATGCAATAAAGAAATACAAACATTACTGCATCAAAATTTGCTTTAAACACCATAATAAAATCAGTTTAATATAATTTGTGTTCTTTCTAATCCTATTTTTTTGTGAAATAAAAGAACAGGATGTTATTAGATGATTCGAGGAAATAAAAATATATCAATATAAAATAGAATATATCTATATACATTCTATTTTAAAATACCAGTCAGGAAGGGACTTTGTAGGAAGTGATATTTGAACTGAAAGCTACAGAATGAGGAGCAGTGAATCATATGAAAAGCAAAGGAGGAGACTCCAGGACAAGGGAACAGCATAGACAAAAGTGTCCAACAGGAAAGAACTTACTTGGTGAATTCTATGGAAGGTAGGAAAAGACAATGACTGTGGCAAAGTCTAGAGTTGTGTGTTTGTCTCTAGCCATGCTCAGCTGCATGGGAGCATGAGCAAAATTGGTGGGTAGATGAATTTGAACAGGGTTGCAATTTAACCAAGAATTTGACGCATGAGGAGTGGTGAGGATATATGCTAGGTGTTGATAACAATGACAACCAGGGAAATTAAGCAAAATAAGAACTATGAAAATGTATAAAGGTGGAGAGATAGAAGGTAGTGAGGATGAGGATAGTAGGACTAATGACATATAGGTTCTAGTGAGGTCTGAGGATTATTGGAGCTGGATATTAGAAGGAATGAGTAAGAAGTCTATTTTAGTAGTACCAGCAAGAGATGACAATCATTCTTGCCTTAATCAGTTCAAGCTGGTATAACAAATACCATAGACTGGGTGACTTAAACAATAGAAATTTATTTCTTACAGTTCTGGAGGCTGGAAGTCCAAGATCAAGGTGTCAGCAGCATGGAGTTCTGGTGATAGTCCTCTTCCTGGATTGTAGATGGATGCCTTCTTGCTTTACCTTCATATAACAATGAAAGACATCATGCATGTTTCTTCTCCTTCTACTAATCCCATTCGTGATGGCCCCACCTTCATGACCTAAGTACATTGCAAAGGCCCCCACCTCTAAATACCCTCAAACTGGTGATTAGGGCTTCAACATATGAATGGGGAGGACATGGCAACTATGGAGATGCAAAGAAATATATAATTCAAGGTACTTTAGTGCTGTTATTGATAGGACACTGAAAAGGAAGCTCAGGGCAGTTAGGATTTTTTCTTTTGCCACTTTGTTCCCAATTCTTAGAATTGTGCCAAGCACACAGAAAATGCTTGATAAATGTTAACAAATTAAATGAATGGATCAGGGCGCCTGGGTGGCTCAGTCGTTGGGCGTCTGCCTTCAGCTCAGGTCATGATCCCAGGGTCCTGGGATCGAGCCTCGCATCAGGCTCCCTGCTCAGTGGGAGGCCTGCTTCTCCCTCTC